CCGTGGATAAGATTAATTTAGAGTAATTTAGATTATCGTTTATATCAAAATAACCAAAACAAATTCAAACAATACAAAACAAAGAAAGAAAAGGAAAACTCAAACAAAGATCCTATCTTTAATAGGATTGGGTTGTGATGGATTGTAATTGGAGTGGATAAGAAAGATATGCTCAAAAAAAAAGTGTTGAGTTGTGATTAGGAACACCCACAATCCTCATTGACTCATTTGCTCTTAATTTGCAGCCATAATTAAACCAGATAATGTAGTAATAAGTGAAAAGAAAAAAGGAAAAACAAAAAAAGGTGTGGTGTGTGTGGAGAAGGAGTATAAAGAGTAAGACTGAAGACCATTTCTCCTCCACTTGTCTTCTCAAAAGTTGAAAGTTGAATGAAAGGCCATGGCAGTCAACGCTGGTTTGCTTTACAGGCATGTACACTAGTTCTCCCCCTGTAATAATAAAATACCAATATTTTCTCCCATTTTTGTCTCCTTTGTTGTCTATACGACCATTCAAACTTCCAAGTCCGTGTCTTTGGAGACTTTCAAACCCAACAAAAAGAGACACTTTGCATATATATATAAAAATGAAACAAATCCCACGCATCGACTCAATATATTTCAAACGCGATGCTTTAGACTGCTAGAAAATTCAAAGAAAGTGATCCTTTTCCAACTCTCTCTCCGTCTTCTCTCTTGCTTTCTCTGCAAGTTGCGCGTCTAGATTGGGTTAGAAAGTCAAAACTTCTGCACAAACAGAGCCAAAAGTTCCTTCGTCCTTCTCACAATCTCTAGCTGCTTTCCTGTGTTTGCATAATTCAATCATATAATTCACAACCCACTTGCTGGATTGGGCTAAATCTTTCATTTTCTTTGTTTTTTGATTTTTGGTTTCATTTGAGGCAATCCCAGTTTTGGGTTTAGCAGAGGAGAAGCTCTCTTTGATTGGCTTGGAGTTTTGTTGGGTTTTAAATTCCCTCAAAAGCAGATTTGGATGCCAGTTTTGTTTTAAATGAATTTGAGAGATTTCAAACTACATACTCATATTGATAAATTGTGAAAAAGAAAATCCAGCTTTCAAATTCTTTGGATTTGATGCTCTCAGGGTCTACTTGCTATTAGTTGATTGAGTTTGAGGTAATTTCATAACTTTGTCAATCTTGGATTGTAGATACTGCCTTCCAAGGTTTCTGGGTTTTGAAATTCAGGTTCAAAGAGTTCAGCTTTTCACTAACTTCAGCCAGATTGAAGTTGAGGATATTTGATCCAATTGCCAATCCATATAGAATCTGTGGTTTAAAGTTTGTGGGACTTGTGAATTATGGAGGGGACTCAAGGTGGTTCTAATGCACCAGCGCCTTTTCTTACAAAAACATATGACTTGGTGGATGACCCCTCATCCAACCGCGTTGTGTCTTGGAGTGAAACTGGTTGTAGTTTCGTGGTTTGGGATCCCACAGAGTTCGCCAAAGAAATGCTTCCCATGTATTTCAAACACAACAACTTTTCAAGCTTCGTGAGGCAGCTGAATACATATGTGAGTTCTTTAGTGTTTCTTTACTTTTGGAGCTTATTGATTTATTTTCAATTTTCTGTCTTCGTGTCTTGTTTTTGTTTTTATTTCCTTGGGAAATTATCCATTTAGATATAGCATGTCATTTTCTTTTGTGCTTGATTTTTGGTGTCATGGGTTAAACTCAAACAAATGATAGACTAGTCGCATTACAAAATTCAGAAATGATTAGTATTTCTGCAGATTATATGTTTTGTTTGAACTTTCTTGTAAAGTTTTGTGCTTGTACACGCTTTATTGGCTTCCAAGTTCCAACTAGGAATGTTTATTTTGCTTCGTAAATCTATCTGTTTATCTGGTCTGTTGGAGCATTTCTGACTTAACTCCGTTAGCAGTTGCAAGCATGCTAGTGTTGTTTTGGTTTGTTTATGACCAAAATTTCTGGATGCTTGTAGTTGTTTGTCTGTCAGAGCTAATCTTGATTAGCAGGTGGTCCTTAGAACTTGGTGGAGTTCATAGAATCAAAATGGAAAAGCGTTTAGTTTATGAGAAGACTGGAATATGGCCGCCACCATTAGCCCCTCTAGCTCTGAGCCACAAAAACTTTTTCAATATATGCGAAACAGGCAAAAAATTCTTAGATTGGGAACAAGAGTAAATGGGGTCTGAACTGTGAAGCTGACAAATGGACAAACCTTGTCTTGGAGAAGGGCTCTTTGAAGATGATGGAGAATTCCATAAACACTTCATTTGATTGGCAATCGCAAAGCAGTGGTTTTTTATTCGGTACCATTTGGATCAACTGTGATAGTTCATGGCTCTTATTATTGAGGATGCTGTTCAGCCTGAAAGGACATGATTTGAAACTTGATCAATGAGGTTATTTAAAAGGCTTGTATAGCAGTGTTTATTTAGCTTGAAGTGCTGAGAGACATTGAGTAGGTTGGTTTGCAGTTGGCATACATGGTTGGGCCTCACTGGAAAGGTTTTCAAGACATGCTACCATGTTGGGGCTGGATTTCTGAGGTAGATTATAGATTAGGTATCTTTGTGGTTTGTAGGTCCTTGTGTTTCCTATGCTGTGTTACTATTAAAAATTCAGGGGCACTGTCTGATTTTAGAGTCGTATGGTCACCGCTGCTAAGAGGAGTTCAATAATTGGGGTTATTGCCCTGGTTTGCTGAGATTTGTTGGA